GCGGCACGTGGGATCTTCCCGGACCGGGGCACGAACCCGTGTCCCCTGCATCGGCAGGCGGACTCTCAACCACTGCGCCACCAGGGAAGCCCTACTGTGATCTTTTAATTGAATGATTAGAAACAGATGCTGAAGATATTATGTTTAACTGTCATTAAAGATTTCTGATTCTCAGGAAAGAGTCTTACAGATAGAAGATGATTAAGAGGGCGTCCCAGTGCGGACTCTGCCTCTTGCTAGCTGTATGACCTTGTGCAAATGAATGAATTTCTCAGTGTCTTAGTTTTCTCATCTGAAAAACAGGGATAATAATGCCTCACAGGGTAGAAATAAAAATGAAAATAAGGTAATATATCTAAAGTGTTAAAAAGATGCCTGGAACACAGTATGTGCTCAATACGTGGGAATCATTATTGTAAGAAGTAACAATTATAGGGAAGTTATAAAGGGCTAAATGTTTCACAAGGCCTTCCCACTGCTGTCTATAGTAGCCCAGGCCTTTCTTGCTTAGGGCCTGGACTTAGATTCTTGCTCTTCTCTCTTAGTCCAAAGGGCTTAAGTGTGAACTTGCGGTGACTCAAATAGTTCTTAACTCTAGGGTATACTTTAAATTTTTGTAGAATTCCAAAATGGATGTGCCCAAGTGGCATTTTAGAGTTTGTCCTTAGACCTCAATTTGGGGATAAGGAAGAAGCCACTCATCTGAAGTCCCCCCACTCAACAGGCATTTCAGTGCAACTTTTACTTTCCCACTCAAAATTTATATTGAGGGTGAGACTTATTATTGCAGGGATACTCTTGAACATGCTCATCTACTTATTAAAAAAAACACCCTGAACAAGTAAATAGTTTGCGAACACTTGGAACCTGAAGTATTATTAGCGACGTATCTCACAGCTGATCTTGACACTGAGCATTGCTGACCCACTGGATAGAGTCCACGGCCCTGGGAAATGTGCATGTCTCTTTTCTACCAACCCACACTACCCCATGTAATCACCTGAGACAGGTGAAGTGAATCCGGAGAAAGAACAAGTTCGGGAAGTATCAATTTGTTTCCAATTCAACCAGTTCCAATTTTAGCTTTCTAATGTACAAGCAGGGATGAAGGTCTAGTCCTCCAGGGAAGCCCCCTGCAGATCCTCTCCAATCACACCAGGCATCCTGATACTCACCTCATACTGGCCCAGGTGGAAGAGGGCTGCAGAGCGATTGGCGTAACACAGTGAAATGTCCTCAGAGTTGGGCCTTGAATGCGATACTCCCTGCAGGACAATGAACCGGTTAAAGGTATACATGGAAACTAGCATCTTTAGAGTTTTTTTTTTCTTTTTTTCCAGATAATAGGGGCTCTGCTACTAAAGACTGTATGAAATTGGGTAAGTCACTGGATCTCTTTGTGCTTCACCTGCTTCATTTTTAACTACCTTAGAGCAGAGGTGTGAAGATCAAGTGAGGAAATAAATAGATAAAGCACTTTGAAGACAGCAGCTTCAGACACAGCTTCAGCCACAAACAGTACTAAAGGTAACTGAAAACTGAGGAGCATAATAATCTGGCACATAACGAAGAGTGAGTGGAACAAACAGAAATTCACAAATGAAGAAACACGAATGACACATGGGAAACAATTCATATACAGATAGTCAAATACATGAAAATGAAAGCAGAAAAGGGCTACTTTTTTCTACCACCAAATTGGCAAGGATTAATAATAATCATAAAGGTGGGACTTCCCTGGTGGCACAGTGGTTAAGAATCCGCGTGCCAATGCAGGCGACACGGGTTCGAGCCCTGGTCCGGGAAGATCCCACATGCTGCGGAGTAACTAAGCCCGTGCGCCACAACTACTGAGCCTGCGCTCTAGAGCCCACAAGCCACAACTACTGAAGCCCGCGTGCCTAGAGCACGTGCTCTGGAACAAGAGAAGCCACCGCAATGAGAAGCCTGTGCACCCACAGAACAGTAGCCCCCGCTTGCTGCAGCTAGAGAAAGCCCGGGTGTAGCAACGAAGACCCAAACACAGCCAAAAAGAATTTTAAAAAGTAAAAATAAAGGTGGCATCTCCAATCACTGGAGAAAAGATAGGGATTATTCAATAAAAGTATTGGGACAAGTAGCCACTGAGCAAAAATAAAGTTGGGTCTCGATATATGATAATAAAACTTTCATTAGGATAAATAACAAATGGATCAAAATCTTAATATAAAAATTGAAACTATAAGAGCACCAGAAGAAACTATATAATCTAAAGTGATGTTGGAGTCAGAAGTACCTTTCTAATTATGACACAAAACCCAGAAGTCATAATAGGTTAATGAATTTGACCACATAAAAATAAAAAATTTATTTGTAGCAAAAAACCAATAAAAGCAATATCAAAAGACAAACGCTGAACTGGAAAAAATATTTGCAACTCCTATTACAGGCAAAGGGCTCATTTCTTTACTTTATGAGCAGTTCCTACAGATCAATACGATGGCAACCAATAATTCAGTAGGAAAATAAGCAAATGATATGAACAATTCTAATGGGAAATATAAATGGCTCTTAAACAAATGAAAAGATGCTCAACCTCATTCATAATCAGCAAAATGCAAATTAAAACTCTACTGAGAGGCCATTTTTTACTTATGAGATTCGCAAAGAAGTAAAACTGATAGCACACTGAGTTGGCATAGGAGTGGGATAATGGTCATCCTCATACATTGCTAGTGGGAGTGTAAATTGGTCTCACAATTACGGAGGCAACTGAGCAATATATATCTCTTAATACATATATCTATATCTCCATTGACCCAGCAATTCCTCTTCTAGGGATTTATCCTACAGATATAATCCTTTATCCTATAGATATGTGCAAAATAACATACATGCAAAGTTTCTCATCACAGAATTGTCTGAAGTAACAAAAGATAGGAAAAAAGGTAAATAGTGATCTAAAGGACTCTGATTAAATAAATTACTATTATATCCATATAACAGAATATAAGTGGAAAAAGCACAGTGCTGAACTGTGTGTATAGAATGTTATTTATATAAAAAGAGTATGTGTGTGCAGGAGTGGGAGATTATTTGTACTTATTTATATACGCTGGAGTACCTCTGGAAAGATAGCTTTAACAGTGCTAGCTTCTGGGGACGGGAAATGAGTGGCTGGGGGACAGAGGAAGTAGACTGCACTCTATACTCTTGCATCTTAAAAATTCTAACTATGTAAGCACATTTCCTATTCCAAAATAAAAAGATAAAATAATGTTAATAATACCAAATAACCAATATTGCTTAGGATATAGAGAAATGAACATTCCCATACTCTGCTAGAAGGGATGTAACTAGTTTTTTCCTGGAGAATGATTCAGCAACAAGGGGCAAAGGCCTTAAAAAAAAAAATACATTCAGTTGACCAAGCAATTGCCCTTCTAGGAATTTATCCTTAGGAAATAGTCAGGTGTGTACAAATATTTACATAGAAGGATGCTCCTTGCAGCTTTATGATACCAAACACTCTGCCAACACTAGGTGTTAAATCAAGTATAGTCCTCTGTAATGGAACACTAAGCCAGCTGTAAAAAATCATGTTTTAGTGGAAAATTTAATAACATGAGAAAACGGTCACAATAAATTGTTGAGGGGAAAAAAAGCAGGTTACAAAACAGTAAGTACAGTATTATCGCCACTTTGTACAAGAAAAACATATTTTCAGAGGAAAAAGTGGCTGGCTGGATATAAGCAAAAATGTTAACAGTGCTTATCACTGGTTATGGGATTTTTTCTTACTTTTTATGCTTCTCTGTATTTTCCAAGTAAGCATATATTACATTTACAATCAGACAAAAACAACAAATATTATTTTAAAAAAAGAAAGAAAATAGCAGCTCTATGGAAAACTGCAAAGTACCACAATCAACAAAATACTAGTTTCATGAAATAGGAAGGTTCAATTTTTTTGTCTGATTTCACTTTTTAGTTTATTTTCCTTGAACAGCTTCCCCTGTGCTCACATTTCTGACACACATGCATACAGCTGAAGAAAGATTAGCTCTGAAAAAGAACTACTATTAAGCCGTTTATCAGTGATCATTACATCTAATGGATTTTAGTTCTTCAGCAATCACTAATGCTTACGTTATGCGGCATTACAAAGCAGGGCTTTTATCAATTTTAGAAGATGCTGCTGTAGGTCTGATGGTTTTCGGAAAACTAATTCCAAACTTTAAGCACAGGCCTGTTAAAGATGCAGAGCAGGAGGTACACTCTTCAAATTCACACTCATTCTTTCAAGATACAGGGTTCACAGACCTGGTTTAAGAGGTTGATATATTCTTGCTTTAAACCCATATTTATCTCTAAAAAATTATGGAAGGAAATCTCTCAGGGATCTTATTCCAGTTTCTACTCTGGAAGCAGGACAAGAGCAACAGATTGTTAAAAGCCACTATTCCTCCTTGAAACCTAGTTCACCAATGGTTAGTGTAGTAATTTTAAATATTTGTTGACAACCTTCAAAATGCAGTTCAACCGGGCTGTGGCAATTGAGCTTATTTTCCTTCCTAACTTTACCTAAGTCATACTGGCTATAAGCTAACATGGTGGCCAACCAAAAATCCAGCTGTTCTCTAAACTGGGACTATCACACCAACAGCCTCATTGGTTATTCAGACAAAAAAGGCACACAATTCAGACATGGAGGAGGGAGGCCAAGGCAACCAACAAGACTTGCTACACTGTGTCTGAAGGAATATGAGAATCGAAGTTTCTTGATGGAATTCAGGACGTATAATACAAACTATCCTTTGTTTCAGAATATGACCAAAAGCTGAGTTGTGCCAGTTTTCTTTTTCAGATCCAATCCAAAATTAATAGGCAAAGCTACTAGTGGCTACACAATTCACAATTCAGCAGTAACAGTTCTATCTTTTGAAGAAATATGCATTGGTAAATTGCTGAGACAGCCCCTCCTGCTGAGCTGTGCCGGGGGTGGGGGGTGGCCGGGTCATCTTACCTTAGAGTACAGCACTGTGGCTCCCATATAATCCTTCTTCTGAAATTTTTTGTTTCCTTCTTCTCTGTAGAAAAGGGGAGCGTTGGGGTCCTTTCCAACAAGGTAACCTCTAGAAAGCCTTTTTAAAAACATCTCATCCTCTGGTCTTCATGAAGAAAGAACAACCACAACAACAAAAAAGCACAAATTTGTTATTTCTAGGAAAACTCCTAACCACTGCACTTGAAACAGGAGTGACTGCCTACAAAATACTGGGACAAAAGAGGTTGGATGTGTTATGTAATGTGACTGGGGGGAAAAATCTTTGGTCTCAGAGACATAGGGACTGGAATTTCTATTAGGACAGAATATAAGTTTTTTATTCAGTTACTGGCCAATAAACCATTCCTTGGTTAATGCATTATATAGAAGCTTGGGTGTGGAGAAGGACATAATACACAAGTCTTTGCACCAAGGTATACTGCCACCTAAACTTTGTTGAAAATACCTGAGTGAATGGATGACAGAGGGGAGGGAGGGAGAGAAGGGGGAGGGAGAGACAATGGGGGGGGAGGGAAGGCAGAGGTAAGGAGGAGGGGGAGGGAAGGAAGAGGAGGAAGAGACAGGATGAATCATAAAGTAAATGTAGTGAAATGTTAACATTTGGGGAATCTGAAAGGGCATTGCACAACAATTCTTTATCCTATTTTTGCAAGTAAATCTGAAGTTATTTCAACCTGCAAAGTTTTTAAAAACAAGTATATGAATTCTCTAATGTATAAATACACAAACATACACCTTTTTTCCAATAAAAAGAAATGGTATAGAATAACCTAGACTATACTCTTTGACTATACAATGCAATGAAGCAAAATATGAGTAACATGGGAACTAAAAATTCTCTTAAGCAACTGCTGGGTCAAAGGGGAAATCAAAGACAAAACTGCAGAATGCTTAGAAAAGTGTTTTTCAAATTTTTGTTTACAAAGACCCACAAGAAGAAATACCTTTCATGGGCTTCCCTGGTGGCGCAGTGGTTAAGAATCCACCTGCCAATGCAGGGAACACGGGTTCGAGCCCTGGTCTGGGAAGATCCCACAGGCCGCAGAGCAACTAAGCCTGTGCACCACAACTACTGAAGCCCACGCACCTAGAGCCCGTGCCCGGCAACAAGAGAAGCCACCGCGATGAGAAACCAGCGCGCCACAACGAAGAGTAGCCCCGGCTCGCAGCAAACAGAGAAAGCCCGCGCACAGCAACAAAGATCCAACGCAGCCAAAATTAAAAACAAAAAACCCAAAAAGGCAGTAATGGAACGACAACAAAAAAGAAATACCTTTCACATTGTGATTCAGTAAGCTGCATCTGTGTATGTATATATGGAAATTTCACAAAACACTATTGATTCTTAAGTTAAATATCAAATATTTTATTAATATTTAAACACAATACAGAAAAAAAATCTCAAAATAAATAACACAAAAAGAAAAATAAGGAAAGATTTTATTTAATTCAGAAGGTGTGCTTGCCTGTTCAAAATTTATTCCAGTCAGAAAATATGAGGACAATACCCCACGAATATCTGGCACACCACAGATCCTATTCTTTGTTCTGTTTGTTTTTATGTTGTTTTAAATTAGGTTAAACCTGAAAACCCTATTCAAACAAAGAAGTTGTGGTGAACAGTAATAACAGCAAAATTCTTCTTGCCTAACAATGGATATTCTTTAATCTTAATCCAAAATGATGACAAACTCAATGTGTTTGTAATTGCTCTTCAGTGTAATTAAGAACTAAGCTGCAATAATTCATTCTTCTAGTACCAGGTTTAACTCAGTAATTAAAGTTTTGAAAAGCTTTCTTTTTTTAGTATTTCAAATTTTCTTCTGGAATGTTATGATAAAAAATTTGTGGAAGTGAGATGGAACAATTTTCTAATTAATTTTTTTATTGTGCTAAAATATTTAAAAACTTGTCATTTTAACTAAAGTATATAGTTCAGTGGCATTAAGTACATTCACAATATTGTACGATTGTCACCGCTATCCATTTCCAGAACTTTTTCACCAGCCCAAACTAGAACTCTGCACTCATTAAATGATAACTCTCTATTCCTACCTCTCCCCAGCCCCTGATAACCTCTATTTCACTTTCTGTTTCTATGAATTTGTCTACTCTAGGTACTTCATGTAAGTGGAATGGTAAAGTGTTCATCCTTTTACGTCTGGCTTGTTTCACTTAACATAATGTTTCCTAGGTTCACTCCTTTTTATAGCTGAGTAATATTCCATTATATGTATATATCACAGTTTATCCATTCATCTGTTAATGGACATTTGGGCTATTTTCACTCTTGGCTATTATGAATACTGCTCTGAACATTGGTGTGCAAATAAATCTGTTCAAGTCCCGTTTTCAATTCTTTTGGGTATAAACCCAGAAGTAGGATTGCTGGATTATACAGTAATTCTTTTTTTTTTTCTAAGTTGGTGCCTTACTTGTCTTTTTAAATAATTAATTAATTAATTAAATTTTTGGCAGCATTGGGTCTTCGTTGCTGCATGCGGGCTTTCTCTGGTTGCAGCGAGCAGGGGCTACTCTTCATTCTGGTGCGGGGGCTTCTCATTGCAGTGGCTTCTCTTGTTGCAGAGCATGGGCTTTAGGCTTGCAGGCTTCAGTAGTTGCTGCACGCAGGCTCAGTAGTTGTGGCTCACGGGCTCTAGAGCTCAGGCTCAGTAGTTGTGGCACACAGGCTTAGTTGCTCCACGGCATGTGGGATCTTCCTGGACAAGGGTTCGAACCTCTGTCCCCTGCCTTGACAGATGGATTCTCAACCACTGCGCCACCAGGGAAGTCTCAGTAATTCTATTTCTAATTATTTGAAGAATTGCCATACTGTTTTTCATAGTGGCTGTACCATTTTACATTCCCACCAACAATGCACAAGGGCTCCAATTTCTCCACATCCTCACCAACACTTTATTTTCTGTTTTATTGTTTTGGATAGTAGCCATCTAATGAGTATGAGGATAATAAGGTATCTTGTTGTAGTTTGATTTGCATCTCCCTAATGATTAGTGATGTTAAGAGCATCTTTTCATATGCTTATTTCACGTGCTTATCTTCTTCGAAGAAATATCTATGCAAGTCCTTTGCCCATTTTAAAAAAAATTTACTTATTTATTTTGGGCTGTGTTGGGTCTTTGTTGCTGCCCACGGGCTTTCTCTAGTTGCGGTGAGTGGGGGCTCTTTGTCCATTTTTAAACTGGGTTTTTTGTTGTTGTTGTTGAATCTTAGGAGTTCTTTATATGGTCTGGATATTAATCCCTTAGCAGATGTATGATTTGCAATATTTTCTCCCATTCTGTGGGTTGCCTATTTAACTCTGTTGATATTGTCACTTGATGCACTAAATATTTTACTTCTCATGAAGTCTGATTTGTCTATTTTTTTCTTTTGTTGCCTGTGCCTTTGGTGTCATAGCCAAGAAAAAGATGCCAAATCCAGTGTCATAAGCCTTTGGCTTATGTTTTCTTCTAAGAGTTTTATGGGTTTAGCTCTTAAGTTTAGGTCTTTGAGTTATTTTGAGTTAGCTTTTGCATATGGTGTAAGGTAAAGGTCCAACTTCATTCTTTGGCATGTAGAGTCTAACTAGGAAGCAGATAGAAAGAACCAAGCTCCTTCTTCTAGCCATGCCTTCTCTTTCTAGAGCCCTAGAGAGGTAAAGCCTCTTATAAGGTCAATTGGCAAAGCAGAAAGTCCCAGCCCCAGCAGAGAGTACAAAAGATCAGAGCTGAGAAACTGTAGCTTAATAACTCGCACACATTCACACAAACACATTTTTTTTTCCTGAAAGTAAGTGCACTCGTCATGGAAGTTCACCTCTAAGTATTTTAGCATGCCTCTGCTAAGAATAAGGACATTCTCCTGTATCTTGATATCACAATATCATTATCATGCCTAAAAAATTAACACTAGGGACTTCCCTGGTGGCACAGTAGTTGAGAATCCATCTGCCAAGGCAGGGGACACAGGTTCGATCCCTGGTCCAGGAAGATCCCACATGCGGCGGAGCACCTAATCCTGTGCACCACAACTACTGAGCCTGAGCTCTAGAGCCTGCGAGCCACAACTACTGAGCCCACGTGCCAAAACTACTGGAGCCCACGCGCCTAAAGCCCGAGCTCCGTAACAAGAGAAACCAATGCAGTGAGGAGCCCGAGCACTGCAACAAAGAGTAGCCCCTGCTTGATGCAACTGGAGAAAGCCCACGTGCAGCAACGAAGACCCGATGCGACCAAATAAATAAATTAAATTAAAAAAAATAACACTAATTCAAATATCATTTAAAATTTCTCCATTATTTCTAAAATGTCTTTTCTTTCTTTTTCTTACCCCAACCTGATGTCGGATCAAGGTTCTAACGTACTGCATTTAGTTATTTCTCATTAGTTTCTTTTGAGACAGTCCCATAATTTATTTTTGTTTTTCATGATTAAGTTTTTTTGAAGACTCAAGTCCAGGAAAACGTTACACATTCTGGTTTTGTCTCATTGTTTCCTCATGATTAGATTCAGGTCGAACAATTTTTGTCAAGAATATTAGTCCATTGTTAAATCTGTATACTTCTTGTTTCAAACCAGGAGACACATGTCAGGCAGTCCCATCACTACTGGTGATGTTGGTTGGTCACTTGGTTAAAGTGGTGACTGCTGGATTTCTCTAATATAAAGATAACTTCCCCCTTGTAATAAGTAACATTAATAAGTAATCTATGGGGCCATACTTTGAGACCATGTGAATAACCTGTTTCCCAGTGATCTTTCTTCTAATGTTTTGAGCATCCATTGACGATTATTGCCAGAATCCCTTATTACACTGGGAGTTACAAAATGGTGATTTTCTAATTCTATCATTATTTCTAAACTTATTAATTAGCATTCTTCTGTAAAGACAAATGTTTCCCCCTTTTCTTCTTTTACTTATTTATGTATTTTTTGAGTATCACCATGGACTTAAAAAAATTCATTCTTATAAACCATTATCATCATTATACTTTTTGATGCTCAGATTGTCCTAAATTTGGCCAATGGAAACCTCTTCAGACTGGCTCCTATGTTCTCTTTTTACTTAAATCCGTTAGTCTTTGAGCATTTCCTTGATTTCTGGCAAAACAAAGTATTCCATTTGAATCAGTGTAAAATCAAAACAAATAGGAAGGCAGTGAGTGCCCATAGTGAGTCTGTTAAGGATTCCCTAGGACACTGTAGATTATCAATGGGAGAGGTCCATGTGTCTCAAAAGGTCTTTGATATTGACAAAACGCATCTAATTTGGGAAAACATTTCTCAAAGACTGTAAATGGCAAGAAAGAAGAGTGTATGCCTGGCTTTAAGCTTTAAAGGCCCAATTCATACTTTCATTTACTGGGCAAACATACGGAGATTAGAAATTTAAATCTTTTTTGGTCATTTTAGATTATGATTGAATAGTTTTACAAACAGCTCTTTGGAACTA